TAGTTTGAGCAATCTCTTAATTAATATTAGTTGACGTTCACAAGTTGTAGTCGAGAGCTCAGTCGATGTCTAAGAGTCTTCCTAGATGAAGTTACAAATCTCTCCCTAAGCATCTACACAACGCTCCCATTTTTTTTCTGGGTCTCAACAAGGGGGCGTTATCGCCCACTTTGGGAAAGGCTGGTCTACAATAAGCTTAACTACATAATATAGTGAATTATTATAATTGGTCCTATTTTGTAAACAGTGCAAGGGCCAGGGCAAACCGGCAGGAAGGCAGAGGACTTTAAATTGAATGTAAGAGAATATTTTATACTATTTCAATTGAAAAAAGGTATAAATTTCCATGCTCTGAGGCTCTCACTACAATATTGAAGAGCACGCTAGAAGACACCACGACGGGAGGCGCACGGCATGTGGCAAGATCCACCGGTAGCTGGAATCTGCCTGAATGCGTCTGCGACTTTTCGACTGCCCGAATCGCGAGTGGAATCAAACCCAAACGACCGGCATTTCAGCAGACTCTACGGTACGCTGGCGGACGCTCGCGGTACTGTAAAGGATATCCCTCCTCAGTGTACGTTGACGGACATAAAATCCTCTTCGATGCTCTCCCCCGCCGTCCGCCAGTTTAAGCTAGTCCTAATTGGAACGCAAATTTGCATTTTAATGTTAATGAAATATTATTCCATTTTCATTAATTTTACTCAATTTGAATTTGATATTAAAACAAAATATAATCACGATTATTGTTGATTTTCATATCGATTGTTCTTCAATAAAAACTTTGATCTTTAAATAAAATAAATTGAGTGTAAGGATTAGAATTTTATAATTACAAGTATTAGGACAAACAAATATAGTGGAGAAATAACGCCAGTGGCAAACAAAACAATATTTTTTTGTACCTTGTTTTTATGTGTCAAAAATTGTAACAACACTAGCATTATCTACTATTTTGATTAAATAAAGTATACCCAAAATTTAAAAGCAAGAATTTTTGATACTGTGGATTGTAGAGCTTCTTCTTCTTTTTTCTTAGTACTTCGTAGAGACGATGGTTGGCGACTATCATGGATATTCTCGTTTTTGACGCTGCCACACGAAAGAGGGAACGTGTGCTAAGGTGGAGAGCATAACTACTTCTAAAACTTGCTAAATTAATATAATGGAGGTACTTTATCTGTATAATTCGAAATATTACTAAGTACAATTGTTACTTTTCTTGTTCTCAAACGATGCTTACTTGTAGTTTGTACATAGATTATTTTAATAATACGCGTTAATCCAGTTACATGAACATGATGAAGATGGATCTTACTTTTTCAAAATTTACACAAAAAACCAAAATATTTATTACATCAATCAACGATACACCGACTCTCTAGTGAGGGGAAATACGTACAAAATGACATAGTTGGCATAATTTAAAATTGGTGGACTCTTTTCTCCATCCTCTAAGACTCTAGCACGCAACTGACAATTGCATCATATGACCCAAGTGACTTTTACTGACCTGTCAAAACGTGAACTCATCCGTCCCAGCGTCGTCGCTGAAGACAGGGGTTTTGTACGTTACGAGTTTTTTCTTTACGACAAGTGTTTCTATATAAATGATAAGTTTTTCGCTAATGTACCTATTGTTGTTGCATTTATTTTATACCACAATAGTTTGTTGTTGCCCTCAATTAAATATTTGAAAAAAAATTTGTTCATTTTTGATTTTCTTTTTTTAAAAGCGTTATATAGACAAATCGACATATATACACAACGAACACAATGACACAGGTTTGCCATTTTGTCCTTAAGCGCACATTAAAGGAGTTATTTAGCTTTACTTTAACTTAATTAATTCATTATAATTTTCATTATAATAAAATATATTATAACTTTCTTCAGCCCCAAAAGGACACTTCATTAATGGACAAGGGAAACGTAAACCAAAGACCAGATACTATAGACTAGATAAGGGAAATTCATGAGCCCAAAGCTCCACCAGCAAAGAGACTACAAAATTGTTTGAAGATGACAGCGAAGAAGAAAATTTTCCTTGCAACCCTCGAGTTATCGAAGAGGACTGTGCTTGCACATATTCCAACGATCTTTTTTCTAGATCTAAGCCCGGAAAAGACTGGTTACGATGATGCTTAAATTGTTCGCATTGGGATCACGCTTCTTGCCCTGATGTTCCTAGAAAAACAAAGCGTTTTATTTGTAAACTTTGTCAATAATTTTCACGTTTCAAGTTTTCACGTGTATATCATTTTGTCCATACGTACTATGTCCATTGTACGGTTTTTGATTGATCTCAGTTAAGCTACGAATAATTTTTTTTGTTGCTTTTATTCTATAAATGTTTGTTACTTTCAGTAAAAAAAACCAGACTATTGGTGTAGAATATGGCTGTGCTGTGTATTACTACTACAGAATTATGACTAAAAATAAAATCCTATGTCATTTTGTACGTATTTCCCCTACACTTATTTCAGTCATTCTCGCACTAGTGTTCACTACCTAATTTTTGTTATTTAAATATTTATTTAGGACAACAACACAGGATATTGTGGCCCGAGTTTTTGTGTTGTTTCATTTACAAGTTGCCACTGCATGCGTTTATCCATTGGAGTATTTAAAAAAAGTAATTGACTAGGTACTTACAAATTAACTCTTTAGGCTCAACTCACACTGGCGTAGATTCGAAGCGTCGCGACGCGTCATGTTTTTCGCGTATAGTATATTCATCTCTATTTTTCCCATTATTTTATTATTATTTCGTAATAGGTGTAGAGTTAAAATCGTTTCAAAAATTTAAAAGGAATTTTTTTTTTCAGTGAAATTACCAAGACCCTATTCAATAAATACTTTTCATATTTTTTTATAATATACTAATAGACATAAATGTAAGACAGAAGAAAACTCGTAAGTGTTCCTCGTCGCATCCAGGATTTATTACGAATCCAGTTTATTACATAGGTATTTAAATTCATCGTAAATACTGTAAAAAGAAAATTAATTATATTTGTTTGCAGAAAGTAATATAAAAAAGTAATACTATACTAATGTATGGTATTACTTTTTTATATTACTTTCTGTTCAATAACTTTAATGTTCTGGCAGAAGAACTTCTATCTATGGTCATGAAAAAAACAAAAAAATAACAATTTTTGTCGATTGTCTTACTGGACATATTTCTAATACACACAATAAAGTAGTTAGTCAAATAACCTCGTGTTTTGTCTTTGTCCATAGGATGATACAAGCTATGGATACAGCCGATCATCGTCGCTTGAGTGCGTTCCTGGCAATCTTGATATAAACTATGTATCTTTCAACCCAGATACTGGCAGAATTGTCCTCAGTGGGACAGAAGCCAAAACAACAAAAAAAATATATATTTCGATACTTCCAATCATCGAGTATTTATTCAGAAAATACTCGATGCCTCCAATTAACACTACGCCAATTTTTTGGTCATTTTCCAAACAAACTCAACAGCGGTTACGCGGTTGAGTCTCCCTGTTACATATACGTACAAAAGTTAATTATCATTTTAGGTACGATGTTGGAACGAAAAAAAATAAATCTGTTTCGCTCTTATCAGTAATTAATTTAAGTCGTTCTCTTATATACGTAAAATGTTTACGTTCAAAATAAAAATATTCCATTTTTGTTCACTACTGAAAGCTATAGGACGTTGCAAACTTTTTGTTTTGTATCTCGACCGTACTGTACTTTAAAGAACCCACCTTTTTAATTTAACAATATTAAATAACAAATATCTAATAATAGTTCTCACCCGATATTACCTATTTAAGTTTTATAAAACGAGTATTGCTTCTATGAAAAAATCGTGAAAGTTAATTTTGGAATATATTATAAGATTTTCTAGAGTTAACGTCTAATAACCTTGTGTAAGCCGTTTAATATATATTTATTTAAAATACTACCTCCAGAATAATTTATAAGCATACTACACTAATAAGAGACATTACATAATTGTGAAATTACTGGCACATGGGACTTGGCAACTTATGTCTCAGGGTGATGGGCGCAGTGGCAGTGCCCCTCAGATCTTTGCTATTTAAAGCTCTGAATGGCACTGCATCTGATAAAGATAGGCTTACCATCAGGCGCACGACTTGTTCGTCCCGTCTGTCTGTCGTTTAAATACTTTATTCAATTTATGTACAGATGTAAAGAAAGCAATATTCTCCTCCAGGTCAACAATTAAGAGATAATTTGTATTCTTTACCTACAAAATAAAAGAATATGTTGTTCCTTCCCAACCATATAGACAAATGTCAAGAACTATTTATTTGTTACGATCCTTCCAGGAATTTCAAAGTTTCAATTCTAATAGACGGTACAAACGACCATAAATCTCGCCGATCAACAGCCACCATTGGTAAGTAATTTCAAAATAGGGAAATGTTCCTGAATTTTTATATGTAATTTGAAATGTCAAAAAGAGAACATAATGCAACAGTCCAAATTTAAATCGTTTTGATTTAACAAATTAATTTGATTTAACATTGACGTATCAACAAAAGATGCTACATTTTTAATTATACTACACCGATAAGAGTAAAGCGACGAGAGAAATAGATAAACAAAAAGTTTACTAAAGGAATAAAATACATTATGGTACTAGCCACACAAAATGCAAAGCGTATTCTATACTATAAACACCAGAGCAATAAAATTCACTCCGGGGGCTACTACCCAGACAAGAAACCATTTAGAAAAGTTTGTTCCCGAAATTGGTGGAGCCAGTACCTATCCCACAGTACAGATTGTTGAACCACAATGGTAATCAATAATGTGACTATGTTTCTTAAAGTATTCATGAATAATGAGCAGAAACCTTATCAATTAAATAAACCTATTTTTACAGCGCAAATTCTTATTGGAAACCAATACATTATCCTGACGTTATCAGTGTGAATCGAGCGATAGTGCCCGAGTCTAATAAATTATATACGCTTAGTTAGATAGCACAGTGAACCATTACAACCATCTTCATCATTGCACAGTCCATTGCTTTATTTTGTTTACCGACAACCCGTACAATATGTCTGGTAAGTAAATTGTTAATTATGAGCTTGTTTAAACTTTTTTTACATGAAATTGCTTTTTCGTTTTAATTAATAGGTGCTGTAATAAAAATTTATTTATATTTTACTAAATCTTAAGTTTCATTGAATGATGCAATTCGCATCAGGATTAACAAATAATATAAAAAAAATAATTTGCCAACGTTATATTTGGATCTAACCCACCACAACTCAAAATCATTTCAGTTCTTTTTGACATTGCAACAGAACTATTTATAGAACAGAAAAACAAAATACAACATAATCAAAGAGCATTTTCGCCATCATTGTCAGCCTTAAATATTTTCACTGATCTGCTGATACAATTACATTAGATTTAATTAATCTTCGCGCGTATTGAAGCACGGTTAAATCTAATATTCAGCATTTAAACATTATAAGACAAATGGAGTCCTCCTTTAGGACACCGCTGCCGCCAACCGCCATATTACGGAGGCCACCACCCACAACCACAAACAGTTACCTACGTGCAAACTCCTGTGATAATACCTGGTTACGAGCCACCGCCACCACCTCCGGGCCCTGAGCATTGCCAGCCTACCTACGTCACTAACTACATTATCAATCACCCTACAGATCCTGTACAAGTTGTTAACCGTAAGTGACTTTGTAGTGCCATTTATACCACTTTAAAAAAAATAATAGAAAATATCATGGGATTCAGGAAGCAAAGCATTATAAAAAAGGTTACTTTAAACATCATTTTTTAAAATAATATCAAGTGACAGGACGATCAAGTTGTCGAGCGCCTGATGGTAAGCTACACGCCTGTCCATAACATATCTGTACTCAGAGCTTTAAATCGCAAAAGTAGGGGCACTGCCACTGCGCCCGACACATCGACATCAGAACCTATAATAGACGGCACATGCAAGGTGAACACTTTCTGACAACACGTTAGACTAATACGTCTTACTTAAGACGTATTAGTAAACGTTACTGCGGTACTGACCACTGCTGTGTGTCCCATGAATATCTCTGTGTTTTTACTAAAGTAAAATACTTTAAAGCATAAACATGGCTCCGTGTATACAATAAGATA